TGCTAAAATTGTATTAGAATTTTATTGATTTTGTTTTATTTCACAGGGACATTTATGTATTTGATGGAATATTTATTAAGACTTTATTAATTACTTTATTTATTTATTTAATTTTTTTATTTAATTTTGAACAAAACAGCTCTCCATAGAAAAGGTCAGATGATAGCTTAAAAAAAGCCAAAATAAGCATGATAGAAGCCGAAGGAAGCTGAAAGGAGTTAAAAACAGCAAAACTAGAACAGAAGGTAGAAAGTAGCTACAGTAAAGTTTTATGAACGTTTTGAAGGATTTTAATAATGATGAAAACAGCTCCAATTATTTTCAGCGAAGGAAAACGTGGCAGAAAAAGCTAAATATCTCAAAGAGTATAAACTGCTGAAGTCATCGCTGGAATGTCCTCATAGAGCTGAATGTTTTGATATATAAATTGTAAATAAACTCACTTTTTAGAATTTCCTTCCATTAAAGTGCTGCTTGGAGCAGGTGAGCACACATGTGTCATGACCTGATTAATTTAGACCCTAATATTCAACAAAACTAAAGATATTTTGATTCCTCGAAATCATTGTTTGGATAATAAATCTTTGCCGTCTGTTGCTATCAAATAAAAACGGAATGTGTTTCTCATTAACTCTGTGTTGGGTATTCTGGGTGTCATTGTCCGGCCGGCTGTCCAACACACATTTATTATTGTAGCTGATTGACATTTTTGTACCATTAGCTGTGAGCTTTTTGACCAACCCATCACTAATGAGAAGTCTTTCTCTCTGGAAGGTTGTCTTGTTAGAAATGCAGGATATTCTGTCATGTGATGACAGAGTCTGAGAAAATAAAGTCTTTTCAGCAGCCAAGCTGGGTGAAACTCAGTATATTAAGTCTTTTTGTAGCAAACTGAAAGCCTCTGCAGCACAAATTACACTTAAAAGTTAATTTTTTTCTTTTTACTTTTTATTAATTTTATTATTTTTTTGCAAATATCGTTTAAAAATGCTCAATTGTGGAGGATTTGCTCAGATTCTTAACGTTGCAGACTGTATTAATCAGTGTATGGTTCGTTCTTTGGTTTTTTTTTTTACGTTTCAAAATAAAATTGCAAAACCAAAACAATCATGTTGTTTTTTTGTTTTTCTGTTTTTAAAACCTAAATGTAAAAATGCAAAATCGAATTAATAGAAAATCAACAGTGTTTGATCTTTGCTTTAGCCATCCAAATAAAAATAAAATACAATTCTTTTAAAATGTAGCAATACCGGAAATGAAGTAAGTCGCCAAAGAAGGAAAGTTTACAGTGGATAAAGGATTGCATAAAAACAAACCAGTCTTAAATAATAGGCAATGGCTGCATTTGAACCATTTTCTGCATTTATTATCGAACTTAAGTATCAGAGTTTATGGACATTATACTGTGAAAAATGAGTGACACTTGTAAATACTAGCTAGCTGACGTTAGCTTTCTCTAGGCATTGTGTAAACACGGTGTATTACAGTAATGGACCAGCAGGGGTCCTCTTGCAGGCCAAAACAATAAAATGATGAGAAAATGGGAGGCATAATTATAAACAACGTACATTAATGCCATACCTATTACTTTTACATACCTATAATACATACAGAATAAAGTCATAGTTTAATTTTAGATTTTGGGATAAACAGCAATTCAACGTAAAAGCTTGTCTTTGGTTTAACCATTGCAGTAAATAAAAAAATACCCCTTTTTTATTTTTGCAATTGCCTTTTTTCAAATTTTGTTTTAAAAACAGAAAAAAAATCATGTGCTTGTTTTGTTTTTTCAATTTTATTTTGAAACGAAAAAACCAAAAAACGAACCATACACGGATTTGTGTTGTTAGAAATGTATACTGATTTATTATTTTGTGCACACACATCAAATACTCAGGGGTGATAGTGGAAAAAAATCTCGAGCCTGGACACCCCCCCCCCCCCACACACACACACATTTCTGTTTGCATATGTTGATAATACCAACATATTACTACCAAAAAATCTTTACAAGGTGGATGTCACTCTATCAAGCAAATCAAGAAAAATGCAGTTTAAAGTAATTTTGTACCGAGCAGACCTGTGATTACCTGTGATATATTTAAATATTTATTTAACAACACAACTGAAAAATCACCGTTCCATTGTCAACCTTTTATCATCAAGCATCAACATGCATATTATGATGGTTTTTTATGTTTAAAAAGATCAATATATGATCTTTGTTGTAGCTAAAATTTGAACATTAAAACCTCATAACTGATATTTATACAGACAAACTGGTCAACAAAACAGAATCTGTGAAAACTGTCATTTATATTTCACATTTAATTATTAAATATGTTACACTTTTCATAAAGCCTGGTTCCAAATATAAACAATTTTGCTCATTAAAATCCCCAAATGTCCTGTTTTAAAATGGTAGAATAATACATTATACAGCTGATATGATGAGATGTAAAACTATTTTTAATTTATTATTATTAGACCCAATAAGCACGGTTCTGGAGCAGGTCTCCCCGTTCCTCCCTCCCCTACTGAGTCAGACCTCTGAGAGCTGCTCATGTTTTTTTTCCCCTTTAGAACCTTTAGGGTTTGGTCAAAGAAAAGATCGGAGGTTTTTATTTATTTATTTATTTATTTATTTATTTATTTATTGACTCTACAGAAAGATGAAGCAGACGGTGGATTGAGGTGTTTATTTCCATGTGATGTGTTTCCTGCTCGCGACGCGCATCAAACTGGACTGGCATTTTAAGAAAATAAAGTGTGGGGTACACTATTTATCATATCTCCGGTTCTACTTCACGTAACACAATTGAAAAACTGATTTAAAGTTTGAAGTCTCTACTTTTAGCTTGTATTGAAACAGCGTCTCAGAGAAGGCACACCTTTCTGGTTAGAGCAGTTTAAATGGACCAAGTGATGCGTGGGCAGAAGATATCAGTTAATTGATTGGAACATTTTTTGATTAATAAACCATTATTTGATGCATCCCTAGTTAATATTGTTAAATTACAACAACTAAAGAAACATAAACAGCAAGTTATAACAGATAGGCTGCACACTCCCGCACAGCGGCAGACAATCAACTTTTTGCACAACACCTGGCTCAGTTTCTGTCAGTAAACACACACATGTTGGTCAGATGTTGTTTCCCGGGTCACTGTGATTAAATCCATGCCTGCCTCTCTTCTTGGCTCCACCTGTCTGCTACTGTTCAGCTAATGTTAGCATCCATCTGCGAGATTCCTCTCCCTCGGTAGAGAAATCAATAAATATCTTTCCACTGGTTTTTCTTCTCTGAAAGCTGATTTTTAAAAGTCCACCAGCTTCAATATAAACCGTGTTTCAATCAGGGCTTTTTGATGCGCATTTAGAACTGTCGCATTAAAAATGCGAAAAAAGTCGAATGGAATTACCAAAATTCCGGAAAAAAAAATCCTCAATTTGCTAAAAAGTTTTTACGCTCGCTTGAGGTGGTTCTTGGATGATTCGCAAAGTAGTTAATGCGCAAAACGGGAGATGGAAACACGTTTTCCAAATAAATTCTGACGTAGCGCATATTTACCTCACGTGACGTTCAGCTATTTCCGCTTTCCTGCCTCGTCCCGGATGTTATCATAAATGCGCGAAAACATTGCGTTTATTTCCCTACGTCTCCTGGCAGCATTAAACATAGCCTGTACTAGCTGAATAGATGGAATAATTACAATTTGCTCAATAGCAAGGCATTCACGAAAAAAAATTGCTCCTTTGTCCCGAGATGATTAGCCTCTGCTAGTTAGCAAGTTTCACTTCCTGTTTACTACCGCAAAGCTTGTCATCGACCTCTGACGTAATCACGTGTTGCGTAGCCTCGTCTGACGTAATCACGTGTTGCGTAGCCTCGTCTGGCGTAATCACGTGTTGCGTAGCCTCGTCT